TGATCTAAAGATTTAATATTGCAGACACTCTGCTTCAAAAACACTTCAAAGTGCTTACAAACACAGCAATGCTGCTAAACAAGACTATATACCTTAAAAAACTCAAAATCAAGTAAACAATCTTTAAAAAAACCCAAACTTTGTTTCTGAAAAATTTTAAAGTCATTTACTTTATATTCAATTCAAACCCTATCCACCACTTAAGCACACAAATACCACAATCATGCACAACAAAACCCTAAAAGTGCATCATATAAAACACCAATCCACTGATGACGTTTATTATCCACCAACTACCCCTGCTACACCCAAAACACAAAAAGAAAACAGAATTATAAAAAACCGACAAAGAATCCACAATTTGTTTGCACCCACTCCCCCACATTCCAAAATAGATGCACAAAAATTAAATTTTGTGCATCATATTTCAGAAACGTAGCAAACACATCCGAAACCCTACCGGAACACATGCAATCACTTTTTCAATTCAGAATATTCCAAAATCTTCAATTTCTCAAAAAATTAAATATAAAACATTACCTGTTTCTTCAGGCGATGTCAATGGTGTTAGACTCTTATCGCCAACTTCTTTCTTTGTCGTAGCACTCCTCTCCGTTGCCATAGCCACCAGAATTCGAATTGGATTGTACAACTCGAAGAACCCTCTTAAAATTGGAGTGTGAAGTTTGCCTCTGCGTTTCTTACTCGAAAGTAGCACCAAAATAGGAATACTCGGCGGGATTCCTTTTTGGGGCATGCATGTCTGCACTTTTCAATGCCAAAAATACCCCTTTTCTGCTGCTTCCCTTTTTTTTAGATACATAATTTTAAACTTACCATGTGTAGCCCACCATTAATTAATAAATGATTAAACAATCACATCCATTCATTCCTCCAAATCCAAGGGCTCTCCATCATTCTTATTTCTTTCACTAGGAGCCTTTCTCACCTGATCTCACCCCAAATTATATATATATAGAATTTGGTTCAAATGAGAATAAAATCTAATGAAAGAAATAAGAATGAATAATAACCCTTGGATCTTGATCTCATCCCTTCCTTCTTATTACTTTTCATAAGGGCATTTAAGGATTTTCAAACACATTACTATAATTATTTCTCGATCCGCTACTCTTCTTCTCCGAAAAATCTGCTCACCATCTTCTGTCGTCCTTTCACTTTCCTTTTCCTGGGCATGGGATCATCAATAATTGGATTCTGTCTTCATGAATTTAGCTCCATTTTTTACGCCATCAAACAACACAGTGAATGGTTCTTGGATCTGAATCTGGTATGCTCCAAAGATAAAACCTTTACATTCTATCAATTCTTTCTTTAATTTGTCATGATTGGATTCATTACTTTTGAATACATTCTCCTACAGATCCGAATATGATTTATGAATTTACGATTTTCTAATATTTAGTTTTATTCCTTCTATTTGGTTTGACCTTTGTGGATAAACTCTACACAGAGTTTTCAATTCAGAGCAAAAAATATGCTGGTTAGCAACAATTTTTCATACCTAGATTTCAAATTTTGTTTGAAAGAAAGAACAATTTAGATTTTTTTTAGATTAATCGTGGATGTACTAATTACAAAACTTACAGATTTACACCTAGGAGTTTGAATTTAATCAATTACAGGAGTCTTTGAATGTAGCTAGATATGTTTTAATTTATTGATTCATGGATTCTTTTTACTTTAGTTTTAGATATTTTTTGGACCAGTCATTCTTATCGTTTTGTGTTAGATTGCATTTATGAGACACAAATTTGGCATCCAGTGTCCAAAATTAGTATATCAATTTATATTTTTCATTTTTACACAGCATTGCATTTTGATTTAGATGGCAATGCATCATGCACTTGCAAATAGTGCACTCACTTATCTGAGCCAATGTTGGTTATAAAATTCACCGTATGATTGTGATTTTTATATTACCTTGACAATGTTGTTGGAAATTTGGTGTTCATTGAGGTGTATATTGCTGCTTTTTGTTTTCTTTCATCTTTTTTATGTTTTGTTTTTTTCCTGTTATTGTGCGTTATTGGAATCAAGGTGATGCATTTACATGAGAAGATAATGTATTCTTAAAATCAAGATAAAGGATAACGCATTCTCTTTATTATGCATTCTTAGAATTAAAATTATGATTTGATGGTCTGAAATTCTGAATGGATGCATTTGATGGGGAAATTCATTTGACACAAATATGACGTATAAACTAGATAATGAATCTCTGACAATATTCATTTTAAATGGTCTTTGATACATTCAAATATGGGTTAGAAGCATGCTGAATGATACCAATTTTAAGAGATCAAAGTGCCTATTGAATAGGTCCAAGTGCAATATAGAAATCTCTTTGAAAAAAATATTTGATTGCCTATTAGCTCAAATGGTAGAGCAGTATGTACTACGGATGTGGGTTCGAATCCTGCATAGGCAAATTATTTCTCAAATTGGTATTACACGGATTACATTGAATTCTCATGTTTTTTCATCACATACAAATCACTTACGAGTTATTATGCACTAATGCATAAATTCATAGAACAGAGTTCGAATAAAATCAAAAGGATAAATCATAATGCATAAATTCCCTACCATAGTACATTCATTTTAGATTTTATGTTGGTGGATAGGGTAAAGCTATTTGTACCCCCAAGGATTTATACCCCATTTTGTGCACCGCAGGGATGCACCAACATTTTATGTAACATTTAGGGTAGGCTAATTTTTGTTAATGCACTAACACTTTGTATCTGTGTAAATTTTTGTTAACGCACCAACACTTTGTGTCAGTGTAAACCATCAAAATGTTGGTGCACACCTTTAGTATACAAATGGAGTGCAAAATTTTGGAGTACATGTAGCATGCTCCTAGTGCATATCACAACGCATCCTTCAAGATAAATTTTGATATGTTGTATGTGTATTATTTTAATGATTTTTTTTGCAATTGTTACAATCGTAGTCACGTTATTATCCAAAAACAATAATAAAAAAATAATTTATCACTATATAATGCATTCTTAACTGGTAACTGTGCATTTCAAATGCATATCCATGCAACACGTGCTAAGCCTTATCAATACAAAAGTAAAACTTAAACTTTAATGTTTATTACATGCAATCTCAGCTTGATTTTTTTTTGTTTTAGTCAATAATGGTGGGGGGGGGTTCATGTGATCTTTAAATTCTTTAATTGGACTAGACCTATATATGTGGGATTAGTTATCTTTGTGCACTGGCGTACGAGTTTTGAGGGACTAAAATGCCCCTGCTAACTGCAATTTCTCCTAAATTATAGCACCGCATTTATTCATTAGGTTTCTTGAAGTGCCACATCACTCTTTATTAGATGCCATCGGTGCCGTTCAATTACAAAGATCCATGATTGTTAATCATTCTTATTTCTTTCACTGTAAGTCATTCTCACCTGATCCAATCCATATATATATATATATATATATATATATATATATATATATATATATATATGTATGTATTTATATATAATATTTTTTTAGTGTATCCTATACTTAGTATATATAACACGAAACGCTTAAATTTTAACTCGTCTACGCAGGAGTGGAATGTTCCGTGCTTTGAGGATTATTCTGCACCGGAGAGGACAAGGGTTCGAATCCCCTCTGCCAGCAGAGTTTGATTTCTTTTTCCAATATGCATATTTAAAACACGATGTCTTTTTTTTTTTTTACAGTTTTGTCTTAACTTCTTAAACCTAAACAAATTGCCCAATTTCTTAAACCTAAACAAATTGACCCAATAATAAATTTTAATTTATTATTATAAATTTTTTATAGTGAATAGCAAAATAAGGAATTGAACTTGTTTATTTATTTTGTAAACGTGTGATTTTTGAATATGTTAATATAATTAGGTTATGTTTTAAGTTTATAATATTATTAATTATTTAAATTTTAATATAGGATGCAAAAGTATTTTAAGAAGGCACCAAGATTTAGAGCGAAAGAATTGAGTGAGAACTCATCAAATTTGAACCCAAATGCTTCATCATCTTTAATTTATCCACCGGAAACATCAAATTTCAATTCAAATTCTTCATCATCTTTAAATCATTCCGTAGAACTATCAAATTTGAATCCAAATATATTATCATTTTTGATTTTGAATCGTTAAAGGCTGATCCAGGACTAAGAAAGAGAATTATAGATTATCATTCAAATGTGCAAGATGAAATTTGTCATTCTTATCTGAAAAGAGTCCTTTCCCACCTAAAGCTCATAAGTTTCCTGTTACAGTAATGTCATGTTACAGTAATGTCAGATTATAATTGTAACTTTCGTCCAGTTTGGTTTGATGACTACCCTTCGTTGGAATATAGCATTGCAAAGGATGTCGCATACTGTTTGGAAAGAAATGTCTTTGCTAATATTAGCAATGATAAAATAATAAATCACTTTCAAAATATGAAAACTTGATGTTATCAATTGTAAATATTTTTTACATTTGCAATGTAGAACTATTTTTTATTAGTATGTTCATATATATATATATATATATATATATATATATATATATATATATATATATATATATATATATATATATATATATATATATATATATATATATATATATATATATATATATATAT